GCCTGTCACAGGTATAGCTTTACCTTTTACTTTCTATAAATAATAATAATAATAATAATAAAGTTGCCACTCATCTAACGTTGCCAATTCACGACAGAAGTCCGACGGTGGATCCATATTTGTATCCACAACTTAAACTTCAGCCGGTTACGGTAGCCGAGCGGTCTAAGGCATGCACTGTCTTCGCTCGCTCGGAAGCCGGGATCGTGGGTTCGAATCCCACTCAGGGCATAGATGTGTGTGCGTTGTTCTGTGTTTGTCTACATGTAGAGGCCTTGCGACGAGCTGATCACTCGCCCAAGGAGTCCTACCGTATGTGTAAGATCTAGTAAACCGAAGTGAAACGGAAAGTTTCATGGAGGTAGGCCTAGGCCCAAATTGGGGCTGTAACGCCACAGGAAAAACTTGAACTTCAAAGCTATGTAAAATAGTAGGACTATGTTTCTCTAGAAGCTCTAGAATGTGCGTAATATCGTGTAGTTCACAGATACTCCGACGTTTTGGAGAAGCATATATTCTCAATCTTCAGGGTGTAAATGTATTCCAAGCAAGAAACAAGTGGCATTCTGGACTCTGATTTTGAGAACTTCTTAAAGGTGCAGTTGAAGTTTCCTCCTGTAATTTGACCAGGAAAGAACCCACGTTCATTCCACATTCCTCACTTTATACATATATATATATATCAGGTTTAGAGGACGAGTTTATCTTACGAGCATTATTAATACTGGTAGACAACCTAATGGTTCTTTTACCGCCGCTTATTTTGGGGGGATTAAACCCCGAACTAATACTTTATCCTGCCAATTCTGCAGTCCCCCCTCCCCTGGAACAGGAATACCCTCGCGGGTTAGTATGGGGTACAGGAAGTTCTGTAAACACTGATGCAACATCAAACGGATGGTGCTTCTGTTAATGTCTAATGCACGTGAATGGCTCCTCCAGGTCTCACAACCAAGCTGGAAATTGTTTTGACATTTATTCTCAAAAGGTCAGAGGTCTTAAGACCAAGCAGTTCGAACCTTATGGAAATGTCTGCTCCACGGACTATAACCTAATTTCTTTAACTGAAATATGGCAAGCCACCTGCTTTCACGCTGGTGCTTTGCTCGGTTCATTCGACCCTAAAAATGGAGGCGAAGTGTTCCTCCTAAAGGTCGGTAGGCTTTCAGCGGGCAACACGGCGTTATATCCCAGAAGATGATACTCTTTGTAAAGCGGCATATTTATCACCGTCCTTTACTTACTTGTTTCTTTTTTTTTTTCCTTTATAAATTTTATTTAACATTACGAGCACTCCTGTCTTAAATATGTGTCAGGGGCTTGGCCCTTCACCCTAAAATTCTCTCTTTCTACTACTAGACTTCTCTGTACGATTCCATCCCTTTCGATGTATCTGTGGCCGGCCTCAATACTGGTCTTCAAATTGCTGCAGAACAGTCGACACCCCGCGGTATCGTCAAAAAGCTCAGATACCCATACAAGAATTTCCCAGGATTTTATGGAACCCGAAGTTTCATTACTGTGTTCACAAGAGCTCTCCACTGCTTCCTATCCTGAGTCAGATCTATCCAATCTATACCATGCCATCCTATCTATAGAAATGTGGGGAAGATGTGAAAATAAGGGAGAAGAGTAAGAATATTAGGATCTTCTGAGATGTGACGCAATAATAACTGACTGATAGTGCTGATGTTCTGGAGGAACGTGTCAAATAACCCACTAACCCCTTGTGAAATAATAGGCGATTTGGAGAAAAGGGGGAAATGTCATTCACGTTTGTAAAGTTGCAGTCTTCACGACTTTGTTGGGTAAGAAACACAATAAAGCCACATGCTCGAAGTTGGCTTGTGGCCACAAAGGTGGCGGCGCAGAGAACCGCAAGTAGCAGATGCCGCATTCGTTTGCTCAGTCGGCTGTACATATCCCACCCCTTTACCGCACATCCGGCCAGGCGTTCTGACTACCGCACGAGCCAGTAGTGGAGTGGCGGGCGATGTGTGCATTTGTTGCACACAGTCTGCAAACTTGCGCGCGAAGAAGTGCGGGTCTTACTCCATTCTGTTTCTTGTGAACTAATCAGTCGTTAGTTTGAGCTTCGTCCAACATTAATCATCAGAAATGAATTCTGCTTATCGACACCGAAGCTCTATTTGATGAGGAGACGAGCAGTTGCAACGATTCAGCACAGCAGGGCATTATATCGGATCAACGGAACAGGTGAGTGAGCATAGGCCAACAGCAGATGTCCGCCTTGTTAGTCGGTTACGTAGGCACGATAGATCAATGTGGTCGCGGTGCAAGGGCCAAGAAGGCCCACCCCTTATACATTCATAGCCGGTTACATCCAGCAATAATGGCAAAATCGTTTCTCTTCACGTCTCCTATCTAAAAACGTGAAGGTTAAAATAGAGCAAAATCTGTAATTTTCCCAGTTCTTCTGTATATGTGTGTGTAGAACGTCGTAGCCTGAGGCGGGAACGTACACTAAGATTACATGGAAACTGGGCGCTGAGGATCCGTGGTAGAACAAATACTAACAGGCGAGTCAAGACAGTTGCGTCCAAGTAGAGATTTATAGTTCGTGCTCGTCACCAAATTGTAGATATTAAACCAACGAGGGCAGGTCATGTAGCACGCATGGAAGAGATGAAGAATCCGTGTAATATTTTAGTTATTAATCTAGAAGGAAAGAAAGATTTTTTCAAGACCTAGACATAGATGGAAGGATTATATTATAGTGCAACTTCGGGAGATGTGGAACAAAGATTTAGCATTTGGGTTCATCTGGCTCAGGATAGAGACTAACGAGGTAATGAATGTTGCGGTTGCAGAAAAGGCAGTTAATTAACTGACCTGGTGGGCTAATGTTAATTTCTCGAGAACGACTGATCCAGGGAGTTATTATTAAGGAATTTAGACCTTAAAGGTCAGGGCCGAAAAATTATTATTTAACGCTTGTTTGTCAGTGATTTATGTTAATGCATGTCGGCACCCACTTACAGACCACTTCTCTCTGGACAGCATTCTAAAGAGTTTCGAATAAAGTGCCCAGCAGAATAACTAAGGGGCCAGTACAACACAATTCTGCATTCCGTACACAAATCAGAAGCGAGTCGCTGCCAAGAATGAGTGGGTGCCAGTTACAAGCATGTGAACACACACACGGACCGCGATTGCAGCGCTTGCAAGAGGCATGGTTTGCTCGGTTTCACCAAAGCAGGTCATAACAACATCTGTACATTAGTGACTGCATCACTGTAATGTTTATTCTTCGTCAGAAACCCCGTGGTCAAGTGGGTCATTTCGTTTTCTGGAGGTCCCAGCTTCAAATCTCGGCCCGATGGTCTTCTATAGTAACGAAGTTTTTCGGGTCTTATCTCAGTCGCTGCCAGCAAATGCTGGAACATTGCCATAAATTCGATCAGGACCGCTTCCTTCGACATTTGTTCTAATTCATTATTCACCAATTACCTATTCGAGCTTGAGCTAGGGACATCGTCTCTAAAATAAACCACTCACGTGAACAAAAAAAGAAATAATGTGTGGTACAGAGTATGGAAACGTCCAATGTTTCCAGTGTTATAACTGAGAAAGCCGTGTTGTCTGCAGCGCATGAACTTGTGAATACAAACCGTTCACGACAATTATCCGATATCGTCGACGTTAATACTCAGAAGGTGCAAAAGTGTTATTGGTTAATGAGAATTGATAAACATGTGCGCTTCTCTCATCATCGAGCTTTTAGGTGAAGATTATTGATCACTTTCTTTTACGAATTAGGAACCCAGGCGTTTACCGGTTCAGTATTAACTCCTTATATAGGACTCTCTGGAGGGAGTATTGGGACATCGGCAAATACCATTTTGAAAGCAGCCCCAAGAATTGAGGAAAACACACGTGCTACTCCTCTGTAATCATAGCAGTTAAGATTTGTACCATAACACAGAATGTTGTGTTTCTTTTTGTGTGTGTAATGACCTTACTGTAAGCCCTCGCTAATCCGGATCAGTTAGGGAGGGTCGTCCGGATTAATGAAGCATAAGGTAGCCCCAAAAGACAGGAAGCTTAGAACACAAATAAATGGAACGTTTAGTAGGTAGTGCTGATGAAAAATATCACTGTACAGCATTTGTTTAAAAACTATAAAAAGACAATACATTTATTCATCGATAGAAGTCTTAGAAGCTGTACTTGTTTTTGAACGTAATAATGTAGGTTTGAAGAAACCGTAAAGTTTTGTCTGAAGTTACTTATCTGCCTTCCTAAATACCAGGTGTGTTTTAAAGTATGCACTCAACTGTGAGCAACATTTCTTCATATTTCGATCAGGTTTATCCGACATCCGAATTAACTGTAACCGGATTGGCGAGGGTTTACCGTGTTCCAGTTTTTGTTATTACTCTCTTAATGGGATCAGAATATGTGCGAGTATTACATAGCTTTCTTATACGATATGTTGCTTCTTTTATTTAAAGAGCAAATTAATTGAACACATTTCACATTATTTTTCGAGAATGTTATCATTGAATGTTTAGCGCCCGTGTCTCACAGAAACACAGATATATCGAGCATGAAGAAAATCTGAGGTAAATTACAGGAGTTGAGGAGTTCAAAGAGAGACAACAGAAATCCACGATCCCATTTATCGGACTGAGATACCAGATGCGTCTAAATGCTTTTATCAAGGTCAAACATAAAGCAGAAGCTTTATGTATAGTCATTTGCAGTGTATATTGGTTGATACAGTTAAAGCAAGAGGAGATACGAATACATTCGAAGTGTGTGTGTATGTAGGACATATCATGTAGACCTATGAAAGGTAAACCACAAGCACTTTCTCTGTTCGGCAGCTTACCCTCCTTAACACAATAGGTGGACCCGTGATTCGGAGAAAAACTGTCAGTACGTTCCCACAGCGAATCGATCCGTTGTCAGCCCGGAGACCGCATTCGACTGTGTAAAGGGGATATGTTCCTTCTCAAACGTGTAGAGAGGAGACAACAGTGCAATAGGAACTGTGATGATGATGATGATGATGATGATGATGATGATTAAGAGGAATATCCTTTACACATAAGAGTACTGTCTTCTGTCGCCTTGAAACCTTGCAGAAGCTTACCGACATTTCCTGTTGCTTGCATAGCCTCGTCTTCTACCCTGAAGATTGAAACAGTACGTTCATCTGAAACGTCAACATGTTTCTGTCAGACTATTAGGCGACACATCCCTGAAGAGAGTACTGTTCGTTGTCATGGTAACTTCAAATCTTACGTCTGTAATCAAATTAAGAAAATGTTATGCCCCCACTGCTGTAATTAGCAGTAACACAAAGCAAGCACAGTGGCTCTACAATGTTGGTATCTTTATTGGTGTTTCCAACGCGGAAGGGCCTTGCTGGAGACAACATTTATATAAGACGAACGCCTGAGCACCATCTCTTTCTAAGTAAACTACGAACACTTGGCAACAATAATACACACTGTAATGAAGATTTATTTTATCTAGCACTTTTATGCCCACTAAAGGAACAGTTCACAGAGTTTATGGCGCAATACTAAGAGCTCTTGACCATGCGGGGTGTGTCTGTCTGGTCATCACAAGATGTGTCTCTATGACTGTCGCCAAGTTTGTCTCTGGCAAGCTGTCATAAATTCTCTCTATGCGACTGTGTTACATTTTTGTGTGTGTATGCAATTGTTACAAAGCAAATTCTGTTCAGCTTTCACGAAGTTTTCCTATAAGACAAGAGCATAATGTGTCTTTATAGGACTACTGCAAATTGTGCCTTTGCAGATGTCAGACTGCATTTCTATACACGTCTCACAACGTGTCTCTGTGCGACTGTCGGGCAGAATCCGTCTGTCCAGCTGTCACTTGCTTTTACGCTGGTTTCTTGCTCGTCTTATTCGACTCTGAAGTTGGAGGCGATCCTTTCCTCCGAAACGTCGGTTAGCTTTCAATAAACTACACTTCGCCGTCCGCTTTGACGCTGGTATGTTACTCGGCTTATTCGACCGTGGAGATGGAGGTGATGTTTTTCTCCGAAACGTCAGATGACTTTCAACGGGTACCACGTTGCCACCTGCATTCAAGTTGGTATGTTGCTCGGTTTATTTGACCCTGAATATGGAGGCGACATGTTCCTCCGAAACGCCGGTTGACCTTCAGTAGTCTTCATAATCACCGGTGTGAGAACCACAAATCTTAGAAGAATTTTCGTTTCTTCTCTGCAGCGATGTGATGGCAGAGCAGTTTATTAAAACAAGAACTCAGTGAATAGCGTTAGGGAGGTCGGATCTTACTCATTACTAGCAATCAGGCGTATACGGGACTCTGTTAGTTCGTTTTCCAGTTGGCTTTGCTGTCCTCTTTACTGCACGTTTGACAATACGGAGACATCGCCGTCTGTTAGCAGACTATCGGCCAGGACAGGTTCTCAGCGACAGTATTAGCTCTGAATCCGCTCACTTTGCAACTTGCCAAACGCCAGTGAGAAACGCGGAGCCCCTGCTTTTAAATGAACATCGCGTCGCATTGAAAAAATAACGCTCTCAGCTATCCAACGTCTCTTGACACTCAGAACTGTGTTGTCTCGCTTCATACTGGCAAGCGAGAAGTAGTTGTAACAGCTAAAAGAGACCAAGCACACAAGCAGCAAATAAAAACGAATTACTGTTGCAGATAACAAAATAAGCATTCCGGACCCACCTGATGCTCTCATTACAGAAGTTAAACAACGAATATTATGAATAACTCTCAGCAAAAATCTGCTCCAGTATACGTATCACAGAAATTTCTGGTTTCTGATATGTGTACAAATGTCTCTATGGTCTAGTGGTCAGAGTTCCTGGCTACAGATCCAGAGGTCTGGGTTCGATTCTCGGCGCTACCGGATTTTCTGAGAAGTAGTGGGTCTGGAACGGGGTCCACCCAGCCTTGTGATGATAATTAAGGAGCCATTTCAAGGAAATAGCGGCTCCGGTCTAGAAACCCGAAATTAACGGCCGTGGGGATTCATTGCGCTGACCACGCGACACCCTCTACCCGTTAAAGTTGGCACTAACTTCGCCGACAAGCGGCGGTC